TCATGGCACCTATCCCCTGGATTCAAACAAAGGAGTTAGACATCCCCTATTGCATCATTGCTTCATTATGGAAACGACTCTGAGCAGGAGATACAGGTGGTGGTAACAGTGAATAGCAGAGCCCTGCCCGAGTGCTGGGGGAGAAGAATGGGGAATCTCAAATTCAGATGAAGAATTAACTGGAGGAGTTAGGAATCTTTTGGAAATATGTTAACACAGATGAGCCACTGTCCCTGGGATGTAGCTCAGTGAGTGATAAGATGCTTATCCAGAGAATTGGGGTGGGGGAGAGAGAAAATCCCATTCTGGCACCTGCTGGCTGGTGTGTGTACTGCAATTCCAAGTTTCACCACACAAGAACCTTTGGTTGCATTACCACCCCCTCACCCCTGAAACATTATTTTAGGCACCATAATTTACAGTATTGATAATGGTACAGTTTCTTTATTTTTTCTATCACTCACCCATGAGATACAGTTACAAAGCTTTCATGTTTGAGTTTCAGTCATACAATGATCAAACACCCATCCCTCCACCAGTGCATATTTTTCATTTTCTACCACCAATGTCACCAGTATCTCCCCCTCCTCCTTTGGCAGACATTTTCCCCCATACTTTCTGCTTTGGGGCATTATGGTTTGCAATACAGATTCTGCGAGGCTATAACGTTTGGTCTTTTTTCTACTTTCAGCACACATCTCCCATCCGGAACTATCCAATCATCATTGACTTAGTGATCCCTTATCTATTCCAACTGCCTTCTCCCTCAACTCATGAGGCAGACTGGCCAATCAATTAGTACAATTTCATGAAAAAAAAACACCCATTCCAGCACCCCACCTTTCATAGTGACTGTTTGCTTCTATGTCTAAGTATTCTAGTCTCCCAACACGTGTATACACACACACACACACACACACACACACACACACACACACAGATAATAATGTTTTAACAGTCTTTTGAAATAAAGTCCCAGGTCTTTTCTCAACATTTGGGAAACTGATCAGTTGTCACATACCAATTTGCACGCAGTATTACAGACCCGCAAATAGGAGGCCATTTCCCTTTTTTTTTTTTCCCTCGGCTTTTTGGGTCACACTTGTAGGGCTCAGGCATTACTTCTGGCTCTGCACTCAGGAATTACTCCTGGCGATGCTTGGGGAACCACATTGGTTGCTGGGGTTGAACCTGGGTTGGCCTTGTACAAGGCAAACGCTGTCCCCGCTGGATGTCACTCCAGCCAGAGACCATTTTTCTACTTAGAAACATGGAGATCACCTTTGTAAACATCGAATAGGTTTTTCTCAGATGTAAAAACTTGCAAAATCAAATGCATTTTGTCCTTTAAACACCATATCTTCGGAAGTCTTCTCAGGAAATATTCTGAGTTGTGTCCTAAATAAAATACCCGGCCTTAGTCCAGCAGACATTCTACTGTGACTGAAAATGTGCTTTAATCATGTCTAGTAATTGTCATCTTTTTTCTTGGTCACATTAGCAGTACTATTTTATTGTCTGGTTATGTCCTTAAAGGATAAGACTTAGGATAAATTTAATATCACATAGACAGCTGCACAGAACACTGCTGTGCTGGTAAGTGAATGTTTCGGTAGCAGCTGCCTCATCATGAAGTTGCTTGAAATGTTCATTAGTCATCGGCAGAGTATAAATTTAATGAACAACTGGTCTCAGAGAGACATCATTACCTGTACGTAATGTGATCTATACTAATGGGGCTTGTTGGAAATCTGATTGTAAGTAGCATTAGAATTAGTTTACAGTCCTGCATTTCAGCCTCAGCTCTCTATTATGCAGTTATAGGAGTCAGAGTTGCAAACACAAACCTGAGTTTTGGTAGATAAGAGAAATGGAAAGGATGATATTAGTTTTGTATCACTTAGAGGCCATAGAGAAGCAACCTGGGGTGCCCGGCAGTTAGAACTCTGCCCTTTGTCACCTGGTCACTATCTACAGCTGGAACAGTGAGGGTGCCATCTCTGCTGAAGATGAAAGCATCCCTTTCCCAAAGTCCCAGGCACAGGACCCTGAGTGTTGTCACCATCCTGGCAGCGCGTGAATTGGTGTACGAAGTCATTTTTGCCACGGTTGCCATGGTATAGCTAAGAGAATTATCCCAAGACTCCACTTCCACACCTGGCTCCCATCTCTGGAAGTATTTTGTAGTGTCAAGGTCATTTGGGGAAACAAAATATATAATACTTCATCTGCTTTGTGGAAAGGCTTCAATCCCAAAGTGTAAAGTGGGAGTTGAGATCCTGGCAGCTGGAAAGGATTGCCTGTTCTATCTACAAGGATGACCTTACAGAAATTGCTCCAAATTTCACTTCACGTCTTTCTTTGTTTTTCTTTTTCTTTTTTGGTGTGTGTGTGTGTGTGTGTGTGTGTGTGTGTGTGTGTGTGTGTTGAGTAATATTTGACAATGCTCAGGAATTATCATTATTCCTGGTAATGCTCAGGGGACATATGGCAATGCTGGGGATCGAATCCGGCTCAGCTGCATGCAAAGCAAGTGCCCTACCTACTGAACTCTCTCTCCTGCCCCAAATTTCACTTTTCTACAAAGCAAGGCAAACAAAGGTGATGTGGGTCAGGAAATTGTCATACTTACCTACTCATTTAATGATACATACCAACTGTATGCAAAGCTGCAGAGATAAGCAAGTCGTGGCCCACTGAAGGAGAAGACTCAATAGTCAGCAGGGAGTAGGTCGGAGTTATTCATAAGAGAGATGAGACCGGCGGAGAGGGCAGCCACAGTTCCCCATTGAAACTCTGATACCGTACGCGTGGAATCACATTTCTCATGCGGCGCCACATGCTCTCACTGCTGATGGGAAAGATGAAGCACTCTTGTAGAGAGCGCTTGAAAGGCCAAAACAATGTTGGCAAACATAAATCTAGCCTTACGGAGACTGCCAGCTTTATACAGTGGGACACCTTCCAAAGAAGTATCTGTGTCATAGCTTTGCTGGTCATCAGTAAGAAAAATGACCAAGCTCATTGTAAATCACCCCTGCTCGGATCTGACCTGCCCCAAGTCACCGTGCTCTCTGCTAGAGCAAGCTACTGTGTGTGCAGCTTTGTGTGTGGTGTTTGCTTAAAATAAATTGTTGGTGTTTGGCTTAGGGTTTTGTTTTCCCCCTCCTTCCATTTATAAAAGAACAGCTGCATGGTGATTTGAACCTCTGCCAGAATCCGTAAATTTCATCATATGGTAATAATAGATGGAATGCATTTTTGTGGAATGCAGAAAACATTCTGTAGGATACATTTCACCAGGAACTGATACATCAGTGGGCTGACAGAGGTCAACTGTTAGGAGATCCGGTGCAATCTTTTCTTCTTCACAGCATTGCCAAGTTAGATTTCTGTATCTGACATTGTTTTCCAAAATTCAGCTGCCTTTTGAATATGCTCTTTTATTTTGGGAGTGGGGGACTGGAGGCAGATGGGGGCTACACTTAATTGTGTTTGGTGCCAGGGATTGAACCTGGAGCCCTCTGCATGACAGGTAAGCGTATGCTCCAGCCCTTTAAGCCATCTCCAACTCAAAAGAAGTTTTTCTGTTTGTGAGCTACACCCAGAGGAACTCAGGTCTTACTCCTGGCTCTACACTCAGGGATCAAGCTGGGCTTCAGGGGGTTAAACGGGGTGCCAAGGATTGAACCGGGTCAGCTGCATGCAAGGCAAGCTCTCTACCTGCTCTACTGTCTCACCGGACTACATTTGGGCAAGGCCCACTATCTTGAGTTGAGCAAGTCCAGATGCTCTACCTACCAATTTCTCGAGTTCCCTGCACCTGCTCCCCTTACAACACTAATCACATCCATGAAGACCATCTCCCTGGGCCTAGTCAGTAAATTAAGTGGAAGGCTGGGGCTACCCCTAACATCTCCCATTCAGCCAAGTTTGACCCAATATTTTAAATGTTTCTTCGTTATCTTTACTCCGGTCCAAGTCTTAACCTATCTCCCAGTACCTTTGTCTAATCTTAAGAAAGTAATTCACATACGTTCACAAGGCTATCTAGTCACAACCCCTCTTCCTCCAGCCCTTCGGTGACCTAAGATGTGATGACCTTTCTCATGCCTAAGTGCCCCTGTTGCCTGCCTCTCACTTAACATGTTTCCATCCTCCCAGTAAGGTTCAGGCAAACTGGACACCTCACGGGCCCACAGAGGCATCTCTGTCGCTCCCCATTCCACCGGAGACCCTTCACGGGAGGCTACACCTGCCTGTCCCGCTTCTTCCCGCATATCTGTTGCTCCCTCATACAAGATTAGAGTTCTGGGGCTGGAGCAATAGTACTGCAGGTAGATGTTTGCCTTGCAAACCCGGTCTATCCGGGTTCTATGCCCAGCATCCCATATGGTCCCCCCAAGCAATGCCAGGAGTAACACCCCTGTGCATCGCTGGGTGAGACCCAAAAAGACGTCCCAAAAATACAAGATTAGGGTTCTTTTGAGTGCAGTCCCTTTAACTTAAAAGCACACGGTTGAAGAATAGCAGCTTCATTTTCCACCGAGCGCCTTAGGGGGCGGGAACTGTTCGTTTCGTTCCGTATTGTGCAGTCAGAACACCCCGCCAGAGGCCAGAGCCACATGCAGTATAACCCTCGCGGGGCAAGCACTGTGCCGAACCTAAAGACGGGGCGTCATCACAGCCTGTTATCCAGCCGAGAAAAAGGGAAGGGGGGCGTCCGGGGGTGGCGAGAACGGCCCCGGGCCTCCAGGTGCGGACTCGCAGGCTGCTGCTCTCCAGCTCCTGGGCCGGCCCCGAGCCCCCGGGGAAGGGCCCGCGGCTGCCCACCCCGGCATCCCTCCCGGGCCGGAGCGGCCGTGACGGCCGGCGGGGGCCCCCAGCGAGCTGGACCCCAAGCCCGGGGCGCATCCCGGCATCCCCCGCCTCCGCGTCACGTGAGGCCGCGCGCCCGCCCCGCGCCCGCCCCGCGCCCGCCCCGCGCCGCCGTCCTGGCAGCTGTGCTGCGGCTCGGGCGCCCGCGCTCGGCGCTGCTGTGGGCGAGCGGCCCCGAGAGCTCCCGGGGGGCAGGTAAGGGGGCGGCCGGCCGAGCTGGGGTGGGGGGCGGCGGCGGGGCTGCCCCCGGGCACCCGCTCCGTCCCGCAGCGGCAGAGCAGCTGGGGCCCGCGCGGGACGGAGCGGGGCAGCCCCGCGCCCAGCTAGCTGGCCACCGGGCGGGGATGGAGCGGGGGGCGGGAAGGGGGTCTCGGAGTCCACCTCCCACCCCCGCCTCCGGTCAGATGACGGGCCGCGGGGTGCGGGGCGTTCCGCGCGTGCGAGTGTCAAGTGGTCCCTCGCGGGCACTTGGGAGGGATGGGCAAGCGCCTTCTTCCCCCTAAGGAAGGCGGGAGTGGGGAGTCGCCGCGGGCCCCTCGGACGCGCCTGTCTGCGGGCTCTGCGGAGATGCAGACGTCTTGGAGCCGCCGTGGAAGCACAAGTGATGGGTGTTCCCCCTTGTGGGGGGCGCCGCAGGCGGGCAGAACGGGTGGGAAGCGCATCCGAAGAGCCAGGCGCTGGGGTACCCTCCACCCACCCACCCAGGAGGCCTGGGGCTTCCAGTCCTGGTTCTGCCGCTTCGTGCTAGCCCTGTCACGTTGGGCCAAGTCAGAAGCCGTCCAGTTAGAATGAGACCCTCACAGTCCTGGGCGCGGGAGGTGGCTGTGCGGATGAAGCGGGAAGGGTTTAAGCCCAGAGTCCGGCGGCGACGGACTGCACAATCGTGCTGTCAGTGCAAGTTTATTAAATAAGAGACCTGCCTGGCACGCGGCCAGCCCAGGTTCCAGCCCCATCAGGAGCGACGCCAGAGCCAGGGGGTAGACGCCTCATTGAGCACAGCTGGGCATGGCCCCTAAAAGAGCAAATAAATTAATGAGGGTCCTCAGTGCTGCCGAGAGGAGGTTTCACAGAGGGTTTAGTCCCTCTTCCACTTCTGTTTCCTCTTCTACGGCGGTGCTGCTCTGATATCCTGGGAAAGGAGCTGAAAAAGTGGACCTCTTTGCGCTCTCTCTCTCTCTCTCTCTCTCTCTCTCTCTCTCTCTCTCTCTCTCTCTCTGTCCCTCTCTCTGCTCACACACCCCACCCCCGCCCTTTGCCTTCTCATTTACAATTGGCATGTGAACCTCTGAAGTGAGCCAGGCAGGCAGGATGGGAACAAGAATTTACTCGAGCAGATGGGTATCAGATTCCCTCTGAAGGGAAAGGAAAGTGCCAGCCATGTGCTGCCACCGAAAAAAGCACAGTGTGAGCCTGGGAAGCCCGCGGGCGGGCGCAGCTGCTCCTTTGGCCAGCGCAAGCAGAACGGGCACTCACAGGCTGCACTGGGCTTAGATTTTCCTGGGAGCCTACTGAACATTGGTACTGGGTAGGGAGAAAGCAACAGTCCTCATCAGATAGCTCGTTCCCCCCCCCCCCCCACACTTGCCTCATCCTTTGTTCTGCTCATCTTTGCCCCGTGTATATCTACTGCAGCTCTGTGCACTGAGTGGGGTCTGTCTGCGGATTAAAGGGGAGATTTTTCTATGTGTCTCTGTCCCTGTGCTGGTTCTCAGTAAGTTGCATAAAAACAGTAAGTTCCAGCCCCCCTCGAGGCTGCTGGCCCCAAGGGACAGAGAAGTCTGAATTGTTTCCTGACCGGCTCCTAGCAGTCCCTGGGCCTCCTGGAAGCCTGGCGAGATGGTAGGGGCTGGAGAAAAGGCCGCTTTGTCGGGGCTTATAGGGAATGATTTCTTCTGGCCCAGAGGACTTGAATTTCTTTGTCTTGTTGATTTCAGGCCTCTTACTGTTACTAGATTTCTGGGGAAAGCCACCATCACCCATGGTGCCTCCATGCCGGTTGCCATGGTTATTGGATGAAAGTGTATTTTTGTGATAGCACAAGTAGCTGTTAGCAGTAGGTGGTCAAGCAATGCCCAGCCAGGTTCCTGGTGGATTTCTGTTATCTGGTGGTGGTCCTCTTGGTTTTCCCACTTGCAGGCATGTCAGCTCTTCCCTCCTCCCCTCCAAGAGGTATGCTTTGGTGGCAGGGCCAAGAAGAGTGGGACTGAGCATGGACTTCTGACTTAGCAGATTCAGAATCTTTGTGGGAGAAATTCAGGGTGTTAGCCGAGGTAAAGAGAAGATGTGTGGGGCTGCTGTGGTCAAGGGGGTTTCAGAAAAGGCGCCTGGAGAGCTGCTAGGCTCGGGAGGGGAAGTGACCTGGACAGCCGAGGCTACATCATGCACCAAAGGCTTTTCAAGCCCCATCAGTGTCCCAGCACACAGCCCTGGTGGATGGTACAAAAAGCATTTTGTTCTTGCAGCCCTAATGAATGAACCTTTTCTGGAGTCTCCTGTCATAGCCTGATGCCTGCAGATTTCTCTCATTACCTCCTTTCTCTTAGCTTAGTGATGGATTTGGTTTCTTACTCACGCATATGCTACTGTGTACATAGAGGTAGATAAACACAACTCTGTGTGTGTGTGTGTGTGTGTGTGTGTGTGTGTGTGCGCGCGCATGTGCACATGCCTGCTGGGAGTGGAACCCAGGGCTTCACATGTGCAGAAGTATGTGCTCAGCCAGTTCAGCTATCTCTCTGTCCCCTTCTTTCATTTCAGTTGTTTAGCCTATTTGTTTCATTTTGCAATCATTTCTTTCTTTCTTTCTTGGGCCAAGTAATCTTCCAGGCCCTTATGAGAGAGAGTTCCAACATCTCCCACTTCCAAGCATATCTGGGGGCTTCACCACCCACAGAAGGGGTCACTTCCATTCTGTTGAGGCATGAGGACTGGCCCCTGAGCAGTCCACCCACATTGTTATTTCTGACAACAGCTGTGTGGTAGTGCTGTTGAAGAGCTGACCTGCACAGGCCAGAGATGTGTGCTCACTGCTGCTCCGCGCCCAGCTTGGACCAGCTTCCTGCCAGCTTGATCCCGTGCTTGGATTCCAAGGTTAGAGCTTTTTTAAGTGTGCGCTCACGTACTTAGCCGAACTCTCTGAGCTGTGTGTTGAGCCTGACCCTAAGCTGAGTTTCCTGCTGCATTGTCCTTTGGGGACAAACAAGACCCTTTCCTCATCAGAAATCACCTAAAAGATTTCGTTCTGTTGACACCTTTTAGCAAATTTATGATAAAATCTTCTATTCCTGCTCCTGGCCCTTCTTGACTCTTACCCATGAACTCTACCAACTGAGTTCCCCACCCAGATTTTATTTTGTAAAGGATTATTATTTTCAATCAAACGATGACCCGTGTGTTCACTCCATTGCCTTTGGTTCGACGTTTTAAAATAAGATATCTATTTAAAATACAAGCAGACTGAAAGTCCCCCAAAATGTGTGCTTTAACCATTCTGAGGTAAATAGTCCTATCACCTACCACAGCCTGTGTTTTAGGAATACCTCGTCCAAATCTGTCTTCTCCCCCAAAGAATCCAGTATCTTTACTTTTGTGATAATCTTTCTTGTGCTTTTCTTTGTCATTTTGCATCTTTATTTTAACTGCCCCCCCCCCCACCGCTAAACAACGTAATATCTGCTGTGTTTGAGCATCTTACCTACATAATAGTATGTGCATTTTTTGTGTTGCTTTTTATCCCCCTTTTAATTATTGCCAGTGTGAAGTTTGAGCTTGACCACCTGAGCCACATCCCCAGACTGTTTTTGCTCTTTTGCCCGATGTGCTGTGAGTGAGTCGCATCCATGTGGCAGCCTCCCGTGTGTGCACTGCTCAGTGTCTCCCGAGATGACTATGTCACAGTCCACATCTGCCCGTCCTGGAGAAGATGGGTACCTGGGGGCAACTCGTAGTCTCTGGCTGTTCAGAACCATGCAAACAAGAACCTTCGTGGACATTCTCTGGTGTGTATGTGAATCGCTTTCTTTAGGTTACATGTGTGGAAGTAGAATGGCTTTGCCAGGTGATAGCAGGTCCCTCCATGAGTGTACCAGTTTCCTTTCCTCCCAGCAGTAGAGGTGAGTTCCTGTTGCTTAGCATCCTTGCAGGCACTTGGTCTTATCCGTTTAAAGATTTATTTATTACTTATTTATTTATTTTGTTTTTGGGTTACACCCGGCCATGCTCAGGGGTTACTCCTGGCTCTGCACTCAGGAATTACTTCTGGTGGTGTTCAAGGGACCATATGGGATGCTGGGAATTGAACCCAGGTCTGCCTCATGCAAGGCAAACGCCCTACCCACTGTACTATCGCTCCAGCCCCCATTTAATATTTTTAAACTATTCTTGTGAAGGTGTAATAGTATCTTTTGTGGTTCTCTGGGGTTTTTTCTTTGTTATTACTAATTTTGCACATTTTAATTGATTAATTGGATGGCCTTTCTGGTGAACTGCTTGGGTCTCCCCTTCCCCTCTACCTGTTGTACCACCCCACATGCTGTGGTGCTCAGGGATGGACTTACTCCTGTCTCTGTGCTCAGGGATCACTCCTGGTGATGCTCAGAGGACCATAGGGGGTGCCAGGGAGCAGACCACACTTCACAGTGCAAGGCTTACCCCCGTACTGTCTCTCCACTCCGGGTTTTAGAGTAACTTTTGAATTTTTTTCTTTTTTTATGATCACTTGATCACTTGACATCCCGTTACTCATCGATTTGTTCTAGTGGGCACCAGCAACGTCTCCATTCGTCCCTGTAGCGTGCTAGTGTAGCCCAATGGGGTCTACTCGTTCTAGGAACACGAAAAGCCTCAAACCAGTCGTTCAGGGTCTTGACGAAGAAGTGTGACCATCACATAGGTGGGCGGCCACGCGATCTTTTGACGTCCCGTGGAATCCAGTCGGTAATGGCTCTAGTCCAGCGGTCGTCTCTAAATCTCATCACATGTCCAGTCCATCTGATTTTCAACCGCCTTGGCAAACAAGATAGCGTCCCTGATTCTTGACCATTGACAGAGGTCGGAACTCCGGATTCTTTCTCTTTCTCTTATTTGAGTGAAGTGTGATACTCTAAGCATAGCTCTTTCGATTCCTCTTTGGGAGACAAATGATTGATTTCATTCTTTCTTATAATTTTTTTTTTTTTGCTTTTTTGGGTCACACTCAGGCGTTGCACTGGGGTTACTCCTAGCTCTGCACTCAGGAATTACTCCTGGCAGTGCTCGGGGGACCATATAGGATGCTGGGAATCGAACTCGGGTCGGCTGCATACAAGGCAAACGCCCTACCTGCTATGCTAACACTCTAGCCCCTGAATTTTTTTCTTAAATAATTGGCTTTAGTAATATTTTTCTAGCAGTTCTCCCCTTCTACAATATCAACCACATAAAGTTATTTAAAATACCCTTATTCTTAGTGTGTGTGTGTGTGTGTGCGTGCGTGTGTGTGTGCATGTGTGTGTGTGTGTGTGGGTGTGTGCGTGTGTGTATGTGTGGTGGCAGTGGCAGGAGCAGTGTTGACCCGGAGATGCTCAAGAGCCACTCCTGGCGGTGCTAGGGGATCTTTTTTTTTTTTCCACACTTGGCAGTGCTGAGGGCTTACTTCTGGCTCTGCTCTCAGTAATCAGTCTTGGAAGTCCTCAGGGGACCATAGGGGGTGCTGGTAGTTGAACCCATGTCAGCTGTTTTGCAAGACAGGTGCCCTACCCACTGTATTCTCTCTCTCTCTCTCTCTGGCCCTTCTATGCTCTTCTTTCTTCTAATGTCAGCAGTGTCTGGTGAAGTGTCCCCCCTTTTCACCCTGATTTTATGTTAGTGCTCTTTTTATCTTTTTCTTCTTCAGTTTCAATGGAGGTTCCTTTTAGAGAACTAACTTTTGTCATTATTGATATTTTTCATTAATAAGTTTTCTCTTCTATGAAATTCTGCTTTTCTTTTTTTCTCTTTTCTTTTTGTTTTAAATTTTTGGGTCATACCTAGTGATTCTCAGGGGTTCCTTCTGACTCTGCACTCAGGAATAAGCCCTGGCAGTGCTCTGGAGATCATATGGAATGCTGGGGATCAAACCCTCCAAGTCAGCCACATGCAAGGCAAACAAGGCAAACGCCCTACCCACTATGCTCTGGCCCCATTTTTCTTTTTTTAAGTTTTACTTTCCTCCCATACATTTGGGTTTTATTACCCCCACCTCCAACTTCTTGAAGTAGATACTTGTATGAGTTTTTATGTCAGGTTTTTTTTTCTCTTCCATTTCCTCTTAAAATGTTTAATGGGACCTCACAAGTTTTGATATTTTACTAGTCACTTATTTCTAAATATCTAATTTTTTTGGTTTTTTGTTTTGTTTTGTTTTGGGGCCACATGCACTGGTGCTCAGGGCTCACTCCTGCCTCTGTGCTCAGGGACCTCTCCTGGTAGAACTTGGGGGACCATATGGCTGTGGGGGATTAAACCCAAATCAGCTACAAGACAAGCGCCTTACCCGCTGTTCTATCCAACCCCAGAACTGTGTTTCTTTATTCCAGACCCTTTTTCTAGTTATCGTTTATGAATTGTAATCATTGTGCTCGTGCTGCATCATTTTAATCCTCCGGATGTCATGAAAATGACTGTGAAGACTGTGTTTCCGAACAGTTTTTACAGCTGTTGCATATATGCTCTGCAAGTACCGGATGTGCTGTTTCACATGATGTCACTGCAACAGGTTTATTGATCCTGGCCAACTCTTCTCTTTCCTCACTGTTGCTTTTCTTCCTGTTCTAGATATTATAGAGTGGAGCGTGTTAAGATTCCCAAAGACAATGATGAATTTACTTTCACCTTTTGGTTCTTTGCTTTCTATCTTTGTTTTCTGCTTTCTATTTTTGCTCTATAATCAAGTCCATGTGGGTATAAAGTTTGTTGGGCCAGGGATGTGATTCAGTGGTACAACACTCGGCTTGCACGTGTGAGAACCTGGATTCGATCCTGTCACCACCAAAGCCAAAACAAAACAACAATTTAATGCTGTTGAATCTACCTGGTGAAGAAACCTTTTATTTCAGTAGTTCAGAGGGCGAAACGCATGCTTTGCATGGAAAGCCTCCAAGTTGGTCCCCAACACCACCAGGTGTTACCTCACTGTGATCCCCATCAGTATTGCTGGGCCCAAACACAGCTGGATTTAGTATGACTGGGCACCCCAGGGCACTCCCCTCTAATCTGCCCCCCCCCAAAAGAAAAAGATATTTTGCTTTCAGCTTTGTTTATAGCTTTACCATCTTTTGGGGTTAATCGATTGCATTTTATGTCCCTTTTGCTTTCTCTGTTCTCAGTATTTGGGATATGTCTTTTGTGTAATTGGATTTGGGGTGTTTTAGTCCATTTTCATTTAATGTAACTATACAATGCTAAGTTTAAGTCTTTTTTTTTACATCAGTGTATTATTTCTCTTGATACCAGAGTATTTGACCTGTCACTACTTGTTTTTATTTTAGCTCTCCCTTCCCTTCACTGGTGTACTTCTCAGTCAACCACATTTTTCTCTTCTTCTATGGATGTTAGGCGCTTTTTTTCTTTAATGGTTAACCCTGAAATTTTATCTTAACCACACTTGATGCTTTAAAGTGAGAGGTGATAACTATCCTGCTCTTCTTCTGAGGATAGTAGAAGACTCCACATCAAACTGCGGTGCCAAGAGTTGAAAGCCACCGCCTTAGACCAGGTCTTAATTTTTTCTACTCACATCCTCTTTTGACCTGAGAAATTCTTGGGCAATCCTGGGTGAACAGCTGTATAACAGGTATACAAACCAAACATTCACTGATAATAAATTATTATAAAGAGGTTTAAAACAGATACGGGGTCGTGACTCACAGTTTAAGAACCTGGGGACGGAACCACTTTTGACCTCAGTTTATCCGCTCCCCACCCCCACCCTGGTTCCCGTCATTCAGGCACCCACAGATGGAACAATGTGATGAGGCAGGCAGAAGTAGGCGAGCAGGGCTTCACTCGAGAAAACCAAGTGCATGCTTGTGAGGGCTCTTTTGGTTGCAAGTGATCAGCTTACACTCACTTCA